GGTCCGGGGAGCGGGTGCAGGTCCGGGGAGCGGGTGCAGGTCCGGGGAGTGGGTGCAGGTCCGGGGAGTGGGTGCGGGTCCGGGGAGCGGGTGCAGCCAGGGGAGTGGGTGCAGCCAGGGGAGTGGGTGCAGCCCGGGGAATGGGTGCAGGTCCGGGGAGTAGGTGAAGCCCGGGGGAACAGGTGAAGCCCAGGGCAGTGGGTGCAGCCCCGGGGAATGGGTGCAGGTCCGGAGAGTGGGTGCAGCCAGGGGAATGGGTGCAGGTCCGGGGAACGGGTGCAGCCCGGGGAGCGGGTGCAGGTCTGGGGAGTGGGTGCAGCCCGGGGTGTCGCTGCGGGCCGGGAGGTGGGTGCAGCCCACGGTCTCGCTGCAGCCCCGGGGCTGGGCGCATCCCCGGCTCTCGGTGCACCCGGGACCCCGCGCAGGGAGCGGTGCCCGCCGGGCGGCGCTGCGGGGCCGGGGCGGGCGAGAGGGCGGCGGCGCCTCCGCCCCTGCCGGGCGGGCGGGGAGGGGCCGGGGCTGAGCCCCGCTCGCTCCGCTCCGCTCCGCTCCGCTCCGCTCCGCTCCGCTCCGCCGGCTCCTCGGCAGGGCAGCGTCCGCCGCCGGCTCGGGGCGGGAGGCGTCGGGCGGTCGTGGGACGGCGGGCAGCGCCCTTGGGCGGCACAGGTACAGCTCTCCCCGGGACTCCCCGGCCCGCACGGCTCCTTTGTTCCGCGGGACCGGGGCTCCTGCAGCCCGCGCCGGACGCGCCGCGGGGATGGGGAAGGGATAGGTGGGGTGCTGGTGGGGGTGCTCGGCACCGGCTCTCCTGCGAGAAGAGGGAGGTGGTACCGAGCACCGAGCACGGGAGCCGCTGGGCGCCCCTTCCCCGCACCAAACTGCGGCTCCGGGACGCTCCGTGTGCGGGGGCTGGCGTGGAGCGTCTGGTGGACGGCAGCGGGGTTCGGACAGCTTTGCTGAGGCGTGAACGCCGTGCGCACACACGCAGGGACGGTCCGGGACCCGCTCCCTCAGATAGGAGTGTGTGTGTATGTGCTCTTTCTGGGAAGAGAGCGTGGCATCTGTTTCTTCTTGTCTAAAATAATTACCCTGTGTGCGCGGCTTTGCCGAATTCAAAAGAACGGGCTCGGGTGTGGGGCTTGGGGGAACCGTGGGAAGAGTGCTGGTAACTTGGAGCAGGATGATGGATTCTGCTGTCGGGTAACACTTGGAGAGCAGACTTGAAGAAGGGCTTTCCAGGGCAGGGTCATTGTCCCAGAGAACTTCCCTGAGGGGACGGGTTGGTGTAGCCTGCCAAGGAAGACCGCCTGTCTGTACCCATGTTGGGATTCGGTGTGGGACATCTGCTGCCGCTATGTTTTGGGAAGGGCATCCCTTTGTTCCTCGGAGTGGCCAGACTCCCCGGTTCAAAACAATGGCCTTCCTAGCAGAACCTCTGGGACTGGGGTTGGCGGCGCAGTCACGAAGTGGGTCCGGTGCTCACCTGCCTTGCCCAGGGTACCTGTGTGCTCACACGTCCGTGTCCACACGTGCTGCTTGCCTTTTCGAGTAATTGAAAGCCTTGGAATTTCAGACCATGTCATTTAAGCAGTTGCTCTATGTTTAGTCAGGACCACTGTTATAAAGGACATATGCAACAATAACGAAATAAAATATAAGTACTCTTAAAATTTATGTTGGAGAAACTATTTAAAATAGATCCAGTTTGGACCACTGGCGTAAAGGTCAGGTAAAATGCCTGACTTTGCAATTTTTGTGTCGAATCATGAGTCTTCYATATCCGTCTGTCCTATTGTCAATTGTGAATTAAGGCTGGCAACAGGCTGCCCATCCTTCCCTGGATGAATCATCACTTTGTCAAGCYCTGTGTCAAAAACAAGGCTTTCCCCAAAAGTGTGCAGTATTAGAGAGCAGAAATAGTCTAACCCATCTGTTAAAGTTAAGTTCAGTCCTTGGCTGCTTTTAAGCATATGAAAGGTAATGACATTCTTCTCTTCATGTGCTTTCATTTCCAGTTGTCCCAGGCCTGAGYTTAAGAACGTCTTTAATTTAGTTCTTAATGCAGTGTGCTGCCTCTGGCTTAATTTTGTGTGAAGGTGTAAGGATTGGAGCATTCCCATTATTCCCGAAGTAATATAAAGTGGTCACTGCTTATGTTGGCTTGTAGCAACTTCTGGCRTGTTAGGCTGGCACATGTACCCCCATCTCCTTAGGAAAGAAGATGTTTCTCAAACAYTCATGTGGTGTTGGATATCTAAAATGCTTCTGGCTCCTTTTGGGCACCACACATTGAGTGCTCAGCAAGGTGAAGGGATTCCTGAAAGCATCTTAAAYCACAGAAGCTTGCCTTTTTACTTCACTTTTTTTTTTCCTTTGGTAAGAGACCTTGTTAAATCACACCTGTGGGGAGGAACTCTGAGGAAATCATGCCAGGGGCCGGTAGTTTAGCTCTGTGTGTTAGCCCTTTCAAGCATTGTGCAAGACTTGATGTAATTGCCTTTAGAAGGGCAAATGYACATTGCAAGCCTCCTGGTGCTTCTGGGGGAAGGGAAAATAAAAGTCTGGCAAATGAGGAGAGGAAGTGGGAGAGAGAAATTGGAAACATAAGCAAAGCCAATAATTTTTCCCACTGTGCGCTCTTAAGAAACTGCTGGCAACGTACTGGAGATACTCTGCCTCATGGAAGTGTCAGGGACTGGCTTCACATGATTCTCTGAGATCATCTGGTTTCCCTGAGCTCTGTGGGAACAGAAATTCCTCATGCTGGAGTCTGATCTCATCTTCCTTCGGCAGCAGTAGTAGCAGTGACTTGGGAATTGGAGAGGAAGGTGAAGAAAGTGCCAGTGGGACAGTTTGGAGGAAAGCTTAGTTCTGGTGTAGGCTAAGCTGGACACTGTTTCCTCCTTTCATTGGCCTTGTGTGGTCASAGCTGGGACAAATGCTGACATATCCACCCAAGTTCATTGCCCTTTCAGCCTGCTGAGCTGATTTAGACAGCTCTTGTACCAGACTGCCCTATAAATCTTACCCTATATTTCATTCATCCTTTTTTACTGTACTTAATGAACAGCAAACTGAAATGGAAAGTGGTGACTTGAGTGACTGTATGCATCAAGCTTGGGGAATTTCCTGAGTTTGATGAAAGACAAAAATAAAGTTTTTTTTTTCCTCCTTATAGCTATGTAGTTAGTCTATTAAATTCTCAGARCCTTCTAACTAGCCTCTTCTGTTTGTTGTAAGACTACTGGCAAAAATTTTAGGAAGGCTGAAGTAGCGATGACCAGCCCTGGAATCTGTAACTTGATCTACAGCTTTTTCTCCTCAACTGGGAAAGGAAGTAACAGCTCTTATTACACCCTTATGTAACCTCTCCATTCATATCCTCCAAAAAGAAGGAAACCAGAACTTGATTTCTAGTGTATAAGCKAACATCAAGGCATGCTTTGTCATAAAGAAGCAGTAAAGAATCACATTAATTTTCTTCKGTTTTGCAGTTCCTAAAATGAAAAAAAAAACCAAACCCCACAACCCTCGCAAAAGTTAAACATTTTAATTTCACACTGATGGGATAGTGGGATAATGGAGAGTTCTGCAATTCTTTGTCATATGGTGTGAAGTAACTGTTAAAGAGGATACTGAAACTGAAGATTTTGGTGAATCTTTCCTGGTGTGCTTGAGCAGCAATCTCAAAACATTCATCATTTGCAATTGTGCCTCAATGTGCCTGTGGTTTGTGAAAGCTTTGGTCTTTTGGTGTGTATTACTTCAGATTTTGGTTCTAAGCAGTGTGGAGACAGGATCTGTTGGGGTTTTTTTTGTTTAGTTAGTTAGTTAGTTTGTCTTCTGTTAGTGGTATAGCTTTTAGAGAGAGCTGTACAGGAAGAGATTTTAAAGATTGTCGTCTCTCCCAGCTCCTTTTTACTGGGAAATTCCCCATTTGATACCACCAAGTAAGCTTGTATCCATTTCTTGATATGTATTTTARGTTTGACAGCAAAGTCACTGTGGTGATGAAAGAGTTTCAGTAAGAAAGACTAAAGCTTCAAAATGCAGAAGAGGCAAAGAAAGATGATCATGTCCCCTTTACAGATGTAAGCAGGTTGAGGAATTCCATGCAGACACTATAGCAGGAGTAATGGACCCCAGAGGCCAGAGCAGCATCTTTCCTCCAGTGCTCCAGCTTTTGGGAGGAAAGCAATTGAGAGGTGGTCTCCAGCCTAAGTGGCCAGATTTAACATTTCAGCAAACAAGCTGAAGGCTCAAGATAAGGAATCCAAATATCCGGAGTCCCAGGGAGTGAGGGTGAGAAACATTTACTGTCACGAAGATTTTTTATCCTTTGCAGGGGTGGGGAGTGGGTGTATCCTGGAGCTTAGGTAATTGCCTTGTCTCTAGCTTTGTGCAGTGCTGCCTTGGAATTACTTCTTTCAGTGTGGGTGTGCTAACAAACTTTTCCTTGTTCTCCCTGCCTTGGCGAGGCAGCAGCTCTTCCAAGGGTGTTATATTGGCAGAAATCCTTATGTTGTTGGGCAAGAGCACCATGAAAGCAAAAGATACCAGGAGGAAAGTAGGAGCATATATCAAGAGAAAAAGAGGAGATCATTATGAGGAATAAGTGCTGAATAACAGAAGGGTTGGTGGGTGTTGTAMTATCAGAAATGCTTGCTGTAGGTTTTCTAAATGAAGGTAGCAAAGAAAGACTCATTTTTTCCTACTGTAAGCAGAAACCAGTTTTTAAAAGTCTGTGACCACAGCCTGGTCAGCATTGGTACAAGTTTCCTGGGCCCACAAATATGCTCTGTATGTGAACTCTCTTGCTGTTTGCTTTATCTTCTTTTTCATAGTGTTCTATAATTTTCATAGTTTGTATGCTCCAAAGTGCTGCTGGGGACTTGAATTGCAGTAGAGGTACGAACATAAAATTAGAAATACAAATCATTAAACTGTAGTATTTGTTACAATGGAAACAAAAACAGGTAGAGAGCCATGAYATCCTGAAATGTTTTGTCACATCCTGAAAAGTTTCTCTTCTTTTATATCAGTTTTCTTTATGGATCCTGTTCTCCTTYTATCTACAAGAGTGTACTGGTGTTTGAAGATCTCTGTAAGACTGGGTCTTAAGGTAACCACCGGTTTTTATTCACAATGGAGCATATGCAATTCCCTGATACTGTGCTTAAATCCTTGCCAGTAAAGAACCTGCAGCTCAGAAATGAGGAATCTTCTGGCTGATGAAGAGTTGAATTCTGTATCTTGGGAAAGCACAAACAAAGGAAATTGCACTTACTCTCTGTATTTTAATGCCTTTGTGCTAAAACAATTTGAAGCACAATTAAGGGTGTCCTTTTAGATCAAAGAGGAATCCTTAAAGTCCCTGTTGCAGAAAGACTCAGAATGGCACTGTAGTGAGAAGTTAGCCCTGCTTTTAGGAGAGMTGTTGAAGAGGTGAGTTGCTGTTAATCCTCTTCATTTTTCCTCTGTGGAAGCAAATAAGCAGCTTAACAAAGACACTGGTGACTGTAGAAGAGATGAAGAGGTGCCAGTTTTTTCTGGGACCCTGGGAACCAGTTCACTGTGCACCCAATAGCTTTGCTAGAGCTCCGTGTTTGAGGGCTGAGGAGAAAGCCTTTCCAAGCAGAGCTCATGCTTATCTGATGTGAAAGAAG